AATTATTAACTCAGTCCCTCATAAAAGAGAAATATAGGTAAGAAAAATACACTAATATTCAGCAACTGTATACGAAAATAGTATATTATTAGCCAAGGTTGCAGAGCCAAGCATTCTAGACCGAGCGCAAATTAGAACCCGAGACGCGCAGCGTCGAGGGCTCTGAAGCGCGAGGTCTAGAAGTGGCTTTGCAACCGTGGTTAATATACTATTTTTTTCACTAGTAGAAACCATAAGACAATAAACTGAAAAAATAAACGTTAAATTTTTTGACGCAACATGAATTTGTTTTGATTTCTAATCAAACTTAATCTAAATCTTCAACACAAAGAAAACCGTCGCTGAGTCAATCATTTTATCTTCTACCGTCTACCAACTACCATGCGTATACTCAAGTAATGTTTGTAGCACACATTTGTTCATTTTTTAAGAAATAATCACATCAAATATTGCGTACATAACCTCAATTTTTCTTTTTAAACCGGTGGTCGCAAAAGTTGAATTTGCTACCTCTAAATGAGTCGACATTTGCATGCGGCATGGCTGCTAGTGAAAAAACAAATTATTCCTACTTGTATGGAATTTACCATCTATGTCCAAAAAATGTGGTGGCACGTTTCGTATTCTGCTGCAGTGGAGACTAGTTCTAGGACACTACTCTTTTTTTGATTCATAGTGTCGCTGACCCTTTCATCTTTTTTACTTCAGAATTCAGATTATTACGGTTTTTTGAAAACTTGCTTTCTCACTAAGTCAGATAATCCTGTCTCGTTTACACTAAAGGTCTTACTTTTAACTTTCGCCGTTACGTTGCCGTTGACGTTTTATAATTTGAAAATGGTAAATTTTTGTAGGAAAGTATCGATTTTTCTCGAACTAGACTAGCGAATTTAATCGTATATTGTTGAGTTGGTGCGACATTTTTTGAACACCTGTATATGTTTACTTTCCAAACCTATGTAAGAGTAATACGTAGATAACGGCCTCTCAATTTTTTTAAGTAAAAGTCATTTAAATTTTATAAAATAACATACTCCTTTACCTGTGGTTTATGAATCCGCCTTGATTTTTCCCTTTGACATCCAGACTTTCATAAATAAACCTACAGAACAGATATCTACCAAAATTATTAAACCAGGATAATAATAGAAAATTATAAATAATGCAATTTCTTTGTTGACTGACTCAAAAAAAACTTATGAATTTTTTTTTTAATTCTGGAAAATCGAAAAATTAGAAAATCGAAAAATTAAAAATCGAAACATTGAAAAATGTAAAATCGAATATGTAACTGAAAAATAGAAAAACTCTAAAATCTTAAAATTGAGAAAGTGAAAAATGTTAAAAACTATAACTATTAAGAACACGAGAAACCAAAATGAACAATTGAAAAATCGAAAAATTTAATTATTAAAAATTGGAAACTCGTCAAATTACAAATCGAAAAATTGCAAAATTTAAAAACTGAAACATCCAAAAGTTGGAAAATCAAAAAACTGATAAATAAAAAAAAATCCAATAGTTACAAATCGTAAAATTGACGAAACAAAAAAAAATGAATAATTGCAAATCGAAAAATTGAATAACGGGAAAAAGTGAAAAATCGAAACTCTGATCATGTAACTGAAAAACTTTTAAAAATTTCTTAATCTTCTAATAATTCTAATCCAAAAATATAAGAAACCCAGAAAAAATCAAAAATTGAGAAATTAAAAAATCAAAAAGTTGCAAAAACGAGAAAATTAAAAAATCGAAAAACAGATAAATGGAAAAATTGCAAAACTGAAGAAACAAAAATTCGAAAATGGAAAAATTTGAAACAAAAAACTGCTGATTGAACGGGCGAAAAAAGTGAAATCTCGAAAAATCGATAAAACGAACTGAAAAATTTCAAACTGAAAACTGTCAATATTTCGAATCGAACAATTACAGAAACGGAAAAAATAAAAAATCGAAAAATGAAAATATCTAAAAATTGAAAAATCGAAAATTGTAAAGTAGCAAAAAAAGCACAATCGTAAGATGCAAGAAACAAAGATTTGAAAAATTGAAAAAATTAAGAAAAGGAGAAACCGAAACGAAAAATTTAATTATTCAAAATTGGAAACTCCTGAAATAACAAATCGAAAAATTGCAAAAGTTGTAAAATCGAAAACTGAAAAATTTTAAAATGAAAATTCGAAGAATTCCAAATCGTAAAATTGACGAAACAAAAAAAAATGAAAAATTGTAAATCGAAAAATTGTAAAAACGAAAAACTGCAAAAATTAAGATTGAAAAAACAAAAAAATTATAAAATCGCAGCACTGAACAATCTAAAAATTGTAAAAATGTAGAAAATAAAAAACTGAAGCGAAAAATTGCAAATCGAAAATTTGAAGAGTCGAAAAATTGAAAAATTAAAAACTGAACAACCAAAAAATTTTAATCGAAAAAGTACAAAACCTAAAAGTTGAAAAATTGAAAAATTTTAACGTGAAAACTCAAAAAATTACAAATCGAAGTTTTGATAAATCCAAAAATTTAAAATTTTTCACTGATAAGAAAAATTATAAAATCAGATCATTGAAACAACAAAAAATTATAAAATCTCGACACTAAAAAATCGAAAAATTGTAAAAATAAAGCAAATAAAAAACCTGAAACGAAAAATTGCAAATCGAAAAATTTAATTATTCAAAATTGGAAACTCGTGAAATAACAAATCGAAAAATTGCAAACGTTGGAAAATCGAAAACTGAAAAATTTTAAAATGAAAATTCGAATGGTTCCAAATCGTAAAATTGACGAAACAAAAAAAATGAAAAATTGTAAATCGAAAAATTGTAAAAACGAAAAACTGAAAAAATTAAGATTGAAAAAACAAAAAATTATAAAATCGCAACACTGAACAATCTAAAAATTGTAAAAATGTAGAAAATAAAAAACTGAAGCGAAAAATTGCAAATCGAAAATTTGAAAAGTGAAAAATTGAAAAATTAAAAACTGAACACCCAAGAAATTTTAATCGAAAAAGTACAAAATCTGAAAATTGAAAATTTGAAAAATTTAAACGTGAAAACAAAAAATTACAAGTCGAAGTATTGATGAATCCAAAAATTGAAAATTTTTTACTGATAAAAAAAAATTATAAAATCAGATCATTGAAAAAACAAAAAATTGTAAACTCGCAACTCTGAAAAATTGAAGAAACGAAAAATTAAAAAATTTAAATTGAAACAACAAAAAATTATAAAATCTCAACACTGAACAATCTAAAAATTGTAAAAATGTAGAAAATAAAAAACTGAAGCGAAAAATTGCAAATCGAAAATTTGAAAAGTGAAAAATTGAAAAATTAAAAACTGAACACCCAAGAAATTTTAATCGAAAAAGTACAAAATCTGAAAATTGAAAATTTGAAAAATTTAAACGTGAAAACAAAAAATTACAAGTCGAAGTATTGATGAATCCAAAAATTGAAAATTTTTTACTGATAAAAAAAAATTATAAAATCAGATCATTGAAAAAACAAAAAATTATAAACTCGCAACACTGAAAAATTGAAGAAACGAAAAATTAAAAAATTTAGATTGAAACAACAAAAAATTATAAAATCTCAACACTAAAATATCGAAAAATTGTAAAAATGTAGCAAATAAAAACCTGAAACGAAAAAATGCTAATCGAAAATTTGAAGAATTGAAAACTTGAAAAATTAAAAACTGAACACTCAAGAAATTTTAATCGAAAAAGTACAAAATCTAAAGGTTGAAAAATTGAAAAATTTTAACGTGAAAACTCAAAAAATTGCAAATCGAAGTATTGATGAATCCAAAAATTGAAAATGTTTTACTGATAAAAGCAAAATTATAAAATCAGATCATTGACAAAACCAAAAATTATAAACTCGCAACACTGAAAAATTGAAGAAACGAAAAATTAAAAAATTTAGATTGAAACAACAAAAAATTATAAAATCTCAACACTAAAATATCGAAAAAATGGAAAAATATAGCAAATAAAAACCTGAAACGAAAAAATGCTAATCGAAAATTTGAAGAATTGAAAACTTGAAAAATTAAAAACTGAACACTCAAGAAATTTTAATCGAAAAAGTACAAAATTTAAAAGTTGAAAAATTGAAAAATTTTAATGTGAAAACTCAAAAAATTACAAATCGAAGTATTGATGAATCCAAAAATTGAAAATTTTTTACTGATAAAAGGAAAATTATAATATCGCAACACTGAAAAATTGAAGAAACGAAAAATTAAAAAATTTAAACTGAAAGAACAAAAAATGTAGAAAAAATACACTAATATTCAGCAACTGTATATGAAAAATAAATTACTCCTACTTGGAATTTACCATCTATGTCCAAAAAATGTGGTGTCCCACAAAGGCCCAATCTGGACCCAGTACTATCCCACGAACGAAAAAGCTTAACTTTCCGAACCAAAAGTTTTCTTCTGGAGGTCACTATTTGACAAATTTCAAATAAACAAATTATTAATAATTTAACAGAGACACACTTTGGCACGTTTCGTATTCTGCTGCAGTGGAGACTAGTTCTAGGATACTACTCTGTTTTTTGGTTTATAGTGTCGCTGACCTTGTCAATTTTATTATTATTTCCTTATCATCTTTTTTACTTCAGTATTCAGATTATTACGGTCTTTTTGAAGACTTGCTTTTTCACCAAGTCAATCCTGTCTCGCTAACGTTCCACAATTTAAAAATGGTAAATTTTTGCAGGAAAGTATCGATTTTGCAATTAGGTTCCGCTCTTCGATCTGACAACGAATGAAAAATAAGATTCTGCAATTAAGCTCCGCCCTCTTGGCTCACAACGAATAAAAAACCCATCACAATTGAGACAGGGCGGGTGGGCGGGGCTACATTTTGCCTTTTTTTTCTTAATATGTGTAGACTTATTTCGACAACGGGATTTTACTGTGAAAAACCATAGTTATTAAAACAAGTTAGATACATGGCCACTAATAACTCGGTATTTCCAGATGCGCTGCAGCAAGGAGCCTCCCAGTTTGAACAACAGGCCGGCAAACTAAAGCGAAAATTCTGGTTGCAGAACCTGAAGGTGAGTATCGGCCGAAACACCTCGGCCCAAACCAAACCACAAACTGACGCTCTCTTTCCTCCCACAGATGATGATAATCATGGGAATAATCGGTTTGGTCATATTAATTATCATTGTCAGTAAGTAAAGTTTTTCTCTAGTTACACGTACACACATTATTAAAACACCACACGAAACGATCATCTTTTTAAAATCTCATTTCTCTTCCATAGTGAACTTCATGTAACCTGTCGCTACGATATTCGGTAATTAAAACCAAATTTGTGTTTTGATGTAAAGTGGCTTCTGTCTGTCTTTCTGTCGTAGAGAAGTCCCCACCGCCCCCGAGTCTCCCCCGCCCCCGCCCCTCATCATTTTCGATTTTTTTCTTTGTTTCATTCTCACGCATTTCAAGCTAGAGTTCACATTACTGAGACACGGCTGCGCTGCGTTGCTGCTACGCTTGACGTTAACGAGAACGCAGCAACGTAAGTCTTGAAGTGTGAGTGCATGCGCTGTGGACATGAGATGGTTTTTATTTCGCGATGGGGAAAATTGTGAGCGTGCATGCACCCCTAGAACTGCGTCGGCGTCCAGGTTGGCAACGCTGAAGCCGGGTTTACACGCAAACAAGCCGCTTTCACGTAGCCGCAGTGTGGTATATGATAACGTTGGATCTAGAGATGTTAAAAAAGCGTTTTTTATGAAATGGGTTCGGGTTTTTTGTTTTAAAACGGTTTTTTCTCTATATTGTAATCAAGTTCATTGGACGACTGGCTACTTTTATGTTTTCTCGACGTTTCATGATTTCTAAGTCTGTCCGAATTTTTATTTGACAGACAATCTCAGAAACTACTGGACAATACAACGGTAACCAAAATTTGATTAACATCCCTGTCAACAATAAGATGACGTCATCTCCACAACTTACATTAAATATATTATTTCAATTTCAAGTAACAAAAACTGTAAACTCGAAAAACTGCAACATTGAAAGTTGGAAAATCGAAAACTGAAAAATTAAAAAATGAAAATTCGTATATGTAGTTACAAATCGTAAAATTGAAGAAACAAAAAAAATGAAAAATTGAAAAATTGCAAATCGAAAAATTGAAGAAACAAAAAATTTAAAAATGTAGAAAATAAAAAACTGAAACGAAAAATTGCAAATCGAAAATTTGACGATTCAAACAATTGAAAAATTAAAAACTGAAAACTCCAGAAATTTTAAAATCTAAAAATTCAAAAACTGACAAATTTAAACTTGAAAATTTGAAAAATTACAAATCGAAATATTGAAAAATACAAAAATTGGAAAATTTTTACACTCAAAAAAGAAACATTTTAAAATCAGAACAGTGAAAACCCGAAAAATTGAAAAAATTAAGAAAACGAGAAACGAAAACGAAAAATTACAAAATCTAGAAAGTGAAACATTCCAAAGTAGGAAAATCGAAAAACTGAATATTTTTAAAATGAAAATTCGAATAGTTACAAATCGTAAAATTGAAAAACCAAAAAAAATGAAAAACTGAAGAAATCGAGATTGAAAAAACAAAAAATTATAAAATTGCAACACTAAGAAATCGCAAAAATTGGAAAAATGTAGAAAATAAAAAATTGTAAATCGAAAATTTGACGAATCCAAAAACTGAAAACTCAGGAAATTTTAAACCGAAAAATTACAAAATCCAAAATTGGAAAAGAAAAATTTTCACATTAAAAAAAGAAAAACTATAAAATCAAAACACTGAAAAATTGGAAAATTGAAAAAATGTGGAAAACGACACCGAAACGAAAAAGTGAAAAATCCAAAAATTTAATTATAAAAAATTGAAAACTCGTGAAATTACAAATCGAAAAACTGAAAAATTAAAATTTAGAATTGCAATAATTACAAATCGTAAAATTGAGGAAACAAAAAAAATGAAAAATTGAAAAATTCAAGGAACGAACAAAAAATGGGATTGAAAAAACAAAATTCTAAAATTACAACACTGAAAAATCGAAAAATGTAGAAAATAAAAAACTTAAAACGAAAAATTGCAAATCGAAAATTAGACGATTCAAAAAATTGAAAAATTAAAAACTGCAAACTCACGAAATTTTAAATAAAAAAATTATAACATCTAAAAATTCAAATTTTGAAAAATTTAGACTTGAAAATTTGAAAAATTACAAATCGAAATATTGAAAAATACAAAAATTGGAAAATTTTTACACTCAAAAAAAGAAACATTTTAAAACTAGAACAGCGAAAAACCGAAAAATTGGAAAAATTAAAACGAGAAACCGAAACGAAAAATTACAAATCTAAAAATTGAAAATTTGAAAAACTGAAAATTTTGATAAATAAAAATTGAAGACTCCGGAAATTGTAAATCGAAAAATTGCAAAATTTAAAAACTGAAACATTCAAAAGTTGGAAAATCGACAAACTGGAAATTTTTAAAATGAAATTTCGAATAGTTACAAATTGTAAAATTGAAAAAACAAAAAATAATAAAATTGCAATACTAAAAAATCACAAAAATTGGAAAAATGTAAAAAGTAAAAAACTGAAAAGAAAAATTGCAAGCCGAAAATTTGACGAATCGAAAAATTGAAAAATTAAAAACTGAAAACTCGGGAAATTTTAAATCGAAAAATTACAAAATCTAAAAATTGGACAAGAAAAATTTTAACTTGAAAACTCGAAACTTACAAATAAAATTATTGAAAAACCCAAAAATTAAAAATTTACACAAAAAAAAAAAAAGAAAAACGATAAAATCAAAACACTGAAAAATCGAAAAATTGAAAAAATGTGGAAAATGGAAAACCGAAACGAAAAAGTGAAAAATCCAAAAATTTAATTATTAAAAATTGGAAACATTGGAAAAATGTTGAAAATAAAAAACTGAAAAGAAAATTGAAAAACTAAAAACTGAAAACTCGGGAAATTTTAAATCGAAAAATTACAAATTCTAAAAATTGGACAAGACAAATTTTAACTTGAAAACTCGAAACTTACAAATGAAAAATATTGCAAAATTCCAAAAATTAAAAATTTTCACATTGAAAAAAGAAAAACGATAAAATCAAAACGCTGAAAAACCGAAAAATTGAAAAAATGTTGAAAATGGAAAACCCAAACGAAAAAGTGAAAAATCCAAAAATTTAATTATTAAAAATTGAAAACTCGTGAAATTACAAAACGAAAAATTGCAAAATCTAAAAAGTGAAACTTCTGAAAGTTGGAAAATCGGAAAACTGAAAAATTAAAAAATGAAAATTTGAATAGTTACAAATCGTAAAATTGAAGAAACAAAAACGAAAAATTGAAAAATTGCAATTCGAAAAATTGAAGAAACGAAAAATAAAGAAAAATGGCATTGAGAAAACTGAAACGAAAAATTGCAAATCGAAAATTTGACGAATCGAAAAATTGAAAACTCGGAAAATTTTAAATCAAAAAATTACAAAATCTAAAAATTGGACGAGAAAAATTTTAACTAGAAATTTTAAATCAAAAAATTATAAAATCTAAAAAATTTAAACTTGAAAATTTGAAAAATTACAAACTGAAATATTGAAAAATTACAAACTGAAATATTGAAAAATACAAAAATTGGAAAATTTTTGCATTAAAAAAAAATTAGAAAATCAGAACATTGGAAAACCGAAAAATTTAAAAAAATAAGAAAATGAGAAACTGAAACGTAAAATTACAAATCTAAAAATTGAAAATTTGAAAAACTGAAAAATTTAATAAATAAAAATTGGAAATTGTAAATCGAAAAATTGCAAAATTTAAAAACTAAAACATTTAAGAGTTGGACAATTGAAAAAATGAAAATTTTGAAAATGAAATTTCCAATAGTTACAAATTGTAAAATTGAAAAAACAAAAAAACCACTAAAGAATCGCAAAAATTGGAAAAATGTTGAAAATAAAAAACTGAAAAGAAAAATTGCAAATCGAAAATTTGACGAATCGAAAAACTGAAAAATTAAAAAATGAAAACTGGAAATTTTAAATCGAAAAATTACAAAATCTAAAAATTGGACAAGAAAAATTTTAACTTGAAAACTCGAAACTTACAAATAAAAATAATGAAAAATCCAAAAATTAAAAATTTTCACATTAAAAAAAGAAAAACGATAAAATCAAACCGAAAAATTGAAAAAATGTGGAAAATGGGAAACCGAAACGAAAAAGTGAAAAATCCAAAAATTTAATTATTAAAAATTGCAAAATCTAAAAAGTGAAACATCTGAAAGTTGGAAAATCGGAAAACTGAATTATTAAAAAATGAAAATTCAAATAGTTACAAATCGTAAATGGAAACAAAAAAAAAAACGAAAAAGTGAAAAATTGGAAATCGAAAAATTGAAGAAACAAAAAATAAAAAAACCGGGATTGAAAAAACTGAAACGAAAAATTGCAAATCGAAAATTTGACGATTCAAAAAAATTGGAAAATTAAAAACTGAAACCTGAAGAAATTTTAAATTAAAAAATTATAAAATCTAAAAATTCAAAAACTAAAAAATTTAAACTTGCAAATTTGAAAAATTACAAAGCGAAATATTGAAAAATACAAAAACTGGAAAATTTTTACACACAAAAAAATTACAAAATCAGAATAGTGAATATCTGAAAAATTGAAAAAATAAAGAAAATGAGAAACTGAAACGAAAAATTACAAATCGAAAAATTGAAAATTTGAAAAACTGAAAAATTTTATTAATAAAAATTGAAATTATAAGTCGAAAAATTGAAAATTTAAAAACTGAAACATTCGAAAGTGGGAAAATCGAAAAAACTGAAAAAATTTAAAAATGAAAATTCGAATCGTTACCAATCATGAAGAACTGAAGAAACGAAACAAAGAAAAATTGAAAAATTGCAAATCGAAAAATTGAAGAACAGAAAAATTGAAAAAATGGAGATGGAAAAAACAAAAAATTACAAAATCGCAGAAACACTGAAAAATCGAAAAATTGTAAAAACGTAGAAAATAAAAAACTGGAAAGAAAAATTTCAAATCGAAAAATTGAAAAATTAAAAACTGAACATTCCAGAAATTTAAAATCGAAAAATTACAAATCAAAATATTGAAAAATAAAAAACCTGAAAATTTTCACACTGAAGAAAGAAAAATTATAAAATCAGCACATTGAAAAACTGAAAAAATAATGAAAATGAGAAACCGAAACGAAAAATTAATTTAAAAAGAAAATTGAAAAATTGCAAATCAAAAAATTTAAGAAACGATAATTGTAAAAATATACATAATAAAAACCGAAACCAAAAACTGAAAATCGAAAATTTGAAGAAATCAAAAATAAAAAAACCGAAAAATTAAAAACTGAAAACTGGAAAAATTTTAATTCGAAAAATTGCAATTCGAAAACTGAAGAACCAAAAAAATGATAAACTGAATAACTTATTAGGTCAAAAAAGCTGCGAGAGGGTTAATTTACGCCAGTGGTCAAAAAAAAGAGGGGAATTCTGTCGAAAGACCAATTTTTTTTGTCGTTTAAAGATTTTGTCGTAAATTAGCAAGTATTTATTGTTTAACAAAGTCAAAATTTCTTTAAAAATCTCAACAATATTAAAATTTGCAGTAGCGCCATCTTTGGGTTTGAATTTGAACTACTATCATAACCTCAAAATTTTGAATACATCAGATTAGAACAAATCATTTTGTTAAATTAAAAAAACAAAAAATTAAAACAAAAAAACACGTCCCATTTAAAAACATTAAAACAAACCGTATTTTATTCAGTAACATCTCTAGTTGGACGCCGATGCCTCCCGATGGTCGATATTTAGATGGCATGATTTTCGATGGTGCATGGTTTAGCGTTCGCTACAGATTTAATTGTGGTTTGGTTTTTCTTTTACAGTACGCAAATTGGCAAACCGCAAACAACCATTTATAAATAAAAAAATTAATACACCAAACAAAAACATACGAAAAATCGTACTCTACTATACTAGAGCTGGTCAAATGGAGATCTTAGGAACTTTAAAATAATAAAAAAAAATTGAATCTTAAAAAATAGGTCTGTTGTGCTAATCAAGTGTAATCAATTGTTAAAAGAAATTGAGTAATTACAAGCTGTCTAATGTTATGTGGTATGGAAGTATTGGTTTTAAACTTATAACGAACTTTAAACGACTCAGTTGTACTAAGTTACAAACTCTTTCAGTGTACTTTGTTTTCGATGTTTTGTAGATATCTAACCAATCACGAGCTAGGAAGCGAGCATGCGTCGTGATAAGGTCCATTTTTGTAAAAGCCTCGACCTGTTTCGACGCAAGCTCCCTGTAGTTGTTAACGATAAGAAAAATAAATGTAAATAGTATAACGCTTGTGCTGATTGGTTAACCTCCACTGTCGCCAAATACAAAACAAAAATAACCCCAAAAACGTACATGGCATCACCCACAACAACAACGCCACCCCAGGACCGCAGGTAACCCACCAAAATCTAAGCATGCCGTTACATTTTGACATTTCGACACTCGACGAGACAAGTGCATGCACACATTTCTGCATACAATCATCATATTTGAAAAAAAAGACAGTCATTAACATTTGAAAGACAGACAGATCATACACACTAAAGATGTTTGGTCACGCCCTTTCCCGCGCACGCCCCGCCCCGTGTCACCTCCCGTCCCCGCCCTCAGTAATGGCCCGCCTTTTTATAGTGAAATTCATGCCGAACGAACCCGCTGCACCCCCCCCGCAGCCGTACCCACCGCAGCAGGTGGTGTTGTCGGGGGGAGGCGCGGCGGCCAACCCGCCGGCCACGGCGCCAGGGGGCCAGCCCGCCGGCAGCGGACCCGCCACCACCAAAGGCTAGATGTCGCCGCCGCTATTTTGCTTTGCGTGCTTGCAGGGGGAGGGGGGCGGCCGCGCCGCCCCCGATGCCACGATTCGGAACGAGTTGGACTTTTTCTTTGGTTTTGTTTTCGACTCAAAAAGGATCATTGTTGTGTATAGTATTGTGAAGCAATCGATAGTTTGAGGCAAACGATTCTTTTTTCTGTTTGATTGAGGTTTTTCTCTGACGTAATATAGTCGAAGGCTTTAAATTATGACAACTGTACAAAGTTAAGGACAATGTCTGCGAATTTTGTCGATTATAAATAAATTTGAGGATAATTTTAAGTGTTAGATGTCCTGTACTTAGCGAGTGCATTATGGGATTTAGCATAATTGTAAATTTGTTAGTGGATTCATTTCACGATATTGTAAAAAGATTTAATTACTATGAATGTAATATATTGATATTATCTATTTATTATCACTTTATTATTATGATTATTATCATTAAATAAATTATTCAATAGACTGCTTGCGGTTTTTTTATTTGTTTCGTCGTCTACCCACATAACCATGATTTTCTACTGACGAATGGTTCTAATTAGGAGATTTCTTGGACTTGTACTTCAATTGAATTCTCTTTTGACAAGTTGTCGAATTGTAAGATTTAAAACAAAATAAAAAGTGGCCCCGCCCACCCACCCATTTTTCGTTCTGATCATTGATTTTTATTGGCTCTGAAGAACGGAAGTTGGACTTTATATCGATACATAATAGAATCTTGGATTACATTTTTTTAATACAATTGCAAGAGTTTTCAATTTTTAATTTTTCAGTTTTTCATTTGTTCCATTTTTCGATTTGTAATTTTCAGTTTTTCATTTTTTGTTAGTAGCTGCTAAGATAAGACTGATTTTGGCAAATCACATTGCCTCTAGAAAAATAGAGGGAGGGTGGGCGGGCTTAGTATTTGCTAAGGTAAGACTAATCTTGGCAAATCACATAGTCTCTAAGAAAATACCGGGCTGGTGGGCGGGGCTAGTACTTGCTATCTTAAGACTGAACAATATTAAGAGTAATCGTTGAAATGAAGAGGGAGTAGGTGGGCGGGGCTACTGCTTGCACATAAGATTCATCAGAAAAAAACTAACTCAGCCCCGCCCAATTCTTTTCTCTATTTCACTGACTTATTTTGACAAGTTGTAGAATCTAAGATTTAAAACACAGTAGAAAGTGACCCCGCCCACCCACTCCTATTCCATTTTGATCTTTCATTCTTATTTGCTCTGAAGAATGGAAGGTGGATTGTATTGATGAATAATAAAATCTAGGATTACATTTTTTTAATACAATTTAATTTTACTAAATTGTCTCAATTTTTAGATTTTGCAATTTTTCGATTAGCAATTTCAGGAGATCTCAATTTTTAATTTTTCACTTTTTCATTTTTTATTAGTACTTGCTAAGATGAGAATGATTTTGACAAATCACATAGCCTCTAAAAAATAGAGGGCGGGTGGGCGGGCCTAGTATTTGTCAAGATAAGATTAATTTTGGCAAACCACAGTCTCTAAGAAAATACCGGGCGGGTGGGCGGGGCTATTGCTTGATAAGATAAAACTGAACAACATTAAGAGTAGTCATTGAAATGAAGAGGGGGTAGGTGGGCGGGGCTACTCTTTGCTTGTAAAACTCGTCAGAGAAAAGCTAAATTCAGCCCCGCCCACCCCTTTTCTCTATTTCCCTGACTTATGTGGACAAGTTGTAGAATCTAAGATTTAAAACACAGTAAAAAGTGACCCCGCCCACCCTGCCCTATTCCATTTTGATCTTTCATTCTTCTTGGCTCTGAAGAACGGAAGGTGGACTATATTGATGAATAATGGAATCTAGGATTACATTTTTTAAATACAATTTAATTTTTACTAAATTGTCCCAATTTTTAGATTTTGCAATTTTTCGATCAGCAATTTCAGGAGATCTCAATTTTTAATTTTTCAGTTTTTCACTTTTTATTAGTACTTGCTAAGATGAGACTGATTTTGGCAAATCACATAGCTTCTAAAAAAATACAGGGCGGGTGGGCGTTCCTAGTATTTGCTAAGATAAGACTAATTTTGGCAAATGACATAGTGTCTAAGAAAATACCGGGCGGGTGGGCGGGGCTATTGCTTGATAAGATAAAACTGAACAATATTAAGAGTAGTCATTGAAATGAAGAGGGGGTAGGTGGGCGGGGCTACTGTTTGCTTATAAGACTCGTCACAGAAAATCTAAATTCAGCCCCGCCCACCTCTTTTCTCTACTTCACTGACTTATTTTGACAAGTTGTAGAATCTAAGATTTAAAAGAGAATAAAAGTGACCCCGCCCACCCACCCCTACTCCATTTTGATCTTTCATTCTTAATGGCTCTGAAGAATCGAAGTTGGATTATATTGATGAATAATAGAATCTAGGATTACATTTTTTTAATACAATTTAATTTTTACTAAATTGTCTCAATTTTTAGATTTTGCAATTTTTCGATCAGCAATTTCAGGAGATCTCAATTTTTAATTTTTCAGTTTTTCATTTTTTATTAGTACGTGCCAAGATGAGACTGATTTTGGCAAATCACATAGCCTCTATAATAATAGAGGGCGGGTGGGCGGGGCTAGTGTTTGTTAAGGTAAGACTAATCTTGGCAAATCAAATAGCCTCTACAAAATAGAGGGCGGGTGGGCGGGGCTAGTATTTGTCACCGTAAGACTTAACAATACTAAAAGTAGTCGTTGAAATGAAGAGAGGGTAAGTGGGCGCGGCTACTGTTTGCTTGTAAGACTCGTCAGAGAAAAGCTAAATTCAGCCCCGCCCACCTCTTTTCTCTATTTCACTAACTTATTTTGACAAGTTGTAGAATCTAAGATTTAAAACAGAGTAAAAAGTAACCCCGCCCACCCACCCCTACTCCATTTTGATCTTTCATTCTTAATCGCTCTGAAGAATCGAAGTTGGATTATATTGATGAATAATAGAATCTAGGATTACATTTTTTTAATACAACTTAATTTTTAGTAAATTGTCTCAATTTTTAGATTTTGCAATTTTTCGATCCGCAATTTCAGAAGATCTCAATTTTTAATTTTTCAGTTTTTCATTTTTTATTAGTACTTGCTAAGATGAGACTGATTTTGGCAAATCACATAGCTTCTAAAAAAATAGAGGGCGGGTGGGTCGGTGGGCGTTCCTAGTATTTGCTAAGATAAGACTAATTTTGGCAAATCACATAGTGTCTAAGAAAATACCGGGCGGGTGGGCGGGGCTATTGCTTGATAAGATAAAACTGAACATTATTAAAAGTAATCATTGAAATGAAGAGAGGGTAGGTGGGCGGGGCTACTGTTTGCTTATAAGACTCGTCAGAGAAAAGCCAAATTCAGCCCCGCCCACCTCTTTTCTCTATTTCACTGACTTATTTTGACAAGTTGTAGAATCTAAGATTTAAAACACAGTAAAAAGTGACCCCGCCTACCCACCCCTATTCCATTTTGATTTTCCATTGTTATTGTCTCTGAAGAATGGAAGGTGGATTATATTGATGAATAATAGAATCTAGAATTACATTTTTTTAATACAATTTAATTTTTACTAAATTGTCTCAATTTTTAGATTTTGCAATTTTTCGATCAGCAATTTCAGGAGATCTCAATTTTTAATTTTTCAGTTTTTCATTTTTTATTAGTACTTGCTAAGATGAGACTGATTTAGGCAAATCACATAACCTCTAAAAAAATAGAGGGCGGGTTGGGGGGGGAGCAAGTATTTGCCAAGATAAGACTAATTTTGGCAATTCACATAGTCTCTAAGAAAATACCGGGCGGGTGGGCGGCGCTATTGCTTGACAAGATAAAACTGAACAATATTAAAAGTAGTCATTGAAATGAAGAGAGGGTAGGTGGGCGGGGCTACTGCTTTTTTATAAGACTCGTCAAGCTAAATTCAGCCCCGCCCACTTCTTTTCTCTATTTCACTGACTTATTTTCACAAGTCGTAGAATCTAAGATTCAAAACACAGTAAAAAGTGACCCCGCCCACCCACCCCTAATCCATTTTGATCTTTCATTCTTATTCGCTCTGAAAAATGGAAGGTGGATTATATTGACGAATAATCGAATATAGGATTACATTTTTTTAATACAATTTAATTTTTACTAAACTGTCTCAATTTTTAGATTTTGCAGTTTTTCGATCAGAAATTTCAGGAGATCTCAGTTTTTCATTTTTTATTAGTACTTGCTAAGATGAGACTGATTTTGGCAAATCACATAGCTTCTTAAAAAATAGAGGGCGGGTAGGGGGGGGGGGTAGTATTTTCCAAGATAAGACTAATTTTGGCAAATCACATCGTCTCTAAAAAAATACCGGGCGGGTGGGCGGGGCTATTGATTGATAAGATGAAACTGAACAAGATTAAGAGTAGTCATTGAAATGAAGAGCGGGTAGGTGGGCGGGGCTACTGTTTGCTTATAAGACTCGTCAGAGAAAAGCTAAATTCGGCCCCGCCCACCTCTTTTCTCTATTTCACTGACTTATTTTGACAAGTTGTAGAATCTAAGATTTAAAACAAAGTAAAAAGTGACCCCGCCCACCCACCCCTATTCCATTTTGGTCTTTCATTCTTATTGGCTCTGAAGAATGGACGTTGGATTATATTGATGAATAATAGAATCTAGGATTAAATTTTTTAATACAATTTCATTTTTACTAAATTGTTTCAATTTTTAGATTTTGCAATTTTTCGATCAGCCATTTTAGGAGATATCAATTTTTAATTTTTCAATTTTTCATTTTTTATTCGTACTTGCTAAGATGAGACTGATTTTGGCAAATCACATAACCTCTTAAAAAATAGAGAGCGGGTGGGCGGGCCTAGTATTTGCCAAGATAAGACTAATTTTGGCAAATCACATAGTCTCTAAGAAAATACCGGGCGGGTGGGCGGGGCTATTGCTTGATAAGATAAAACTGAACAATATTAAGAATAGTCATTGAAATGAAGAGGGGGTAGGTGGGCGGGGCTACTGTTTGCTTATAAGACTCGTCAGAGAAACGCCAAATTCTGCCCCGCCCACCTCTTTTCTCTATTTTACTGACTTATTTTGACAAGTTGTAGAATCTAAGATTTAAAACACAGTAAAAAGTGACCCCGCCTACCCACCCCTATTCCATTTTGATTTTCCATTGTTATTGGCTCTGAAGAATTATATTGATGAATAATAGAATCTAGAATTACATTTTTTCAATACAATTTAATTTTTACTAAATTGTCTCAATTTTTAGATTTTGCAATTTTTCGATCAGCAATTTCAGATCTCAATTTTTAATTTTTCAGTTTTTCATTTTTTATTAGTACTTGCTAAGATGAGACTGATTTAGGCAAATCACATATCCTCTAAAAAAATAGAGGGCGGGTTGGGGGAGGGGGGGGAGCAAGTATTTGCCAAGATAAGACTAATTTTGGCAAATCACATAGTCTCTAAGAAAATA